TTTCATGAAAAAGGCTAAGAAAGAGTCAATTTATACCTGTCTAAATTTATCAGATTACTTATCACATTTCTTTCTGCTACTCTGGCCTACTGATGAGTTTATTATTTAGCCCATAAAGAACTATTAAATTTTCTTTATTTTATATGGTGTGTTTGGAATGAGAACCATTGTTTCATTTAATTATTAAATTCATTCACCAGTTGATAAAAACAATGGCAATTCATTTATTGGAATATCATGTGACAATGTTCTCTTTGTTTACAGTGAGCTAGAATTTTTTCTATCATTTCACAAATTAGAATAAAATTTAAATTGCATGGTATGTGGTATAAGCTTATATATTCATTTCAAACATTTTTGTATGGACAAGAGACTTTTAAGGAAAGTCTTTAGGAAATTGCATTTTACACTTCTCATAATATAACTTTTTCTTAGGGTCTAATTAAATTGATTAATCCCCAGTGTAGCAGCTGAAAGTTTTTTGGTGTAGGATGAAGTGTTGTCAGTGGTATAAGAAATCTATTTACTCTATTTGTGCTGATATACCTTTGGCCATTGTGTATGTAGAATTTTATTCAAGGATTTTAAAATTAAGAAAGGGAGATATTCTCAATGGAGGTGAGCTGTAATCAGTAGGCCTATAGGGTAGACACTTCTCTAAACCTAGTGATCTCTACTTGTTGTCATGTCAGCAACACAACAACTAAAATTTTTCTTGGTTATGAAATTGATGGTATCACTTTAGCCTTACCTTGACATTATCATGTAAGTTTTTCATTCATTTCATTTTACCAGTTCTATTTGGTACAGTGAGAAGCATATAGAATATAGTTTAAAACAATACAAAAATTGGTTACTGGCATTTGTTCATGATTTAAACATTTGCTTCATCAATGTTTTGGGGTGAATCTTAGTTTTAGCTTTGAATAGGTGTGTTGTTCGTGAAAGCAATAGAAGAGTTTTCAATTGGCTTTGATGAAACTTTGTATGAAATTGAAATCACCAAAGTCTGTAACCAGTTTTAATCTGACAATTTTTAACAATTTGCATTCAACTGCATTCATACAGCATGCATGCATGATTCATACTGCATCAAAATTTATAAAAAATATATGATAATCCAAAATTCAACTACATGTATGTTAACCCAGTATTCAACTATAATAACCCATAATTTAATTATGATAAGTCATCATTTAACTTTGATAATCCAGAATTGATCCATTAGAACCCAGTTTTCAACTATTAGAACCCAGTATTCAACTATTAGAACCCAGTATTCAACTATAATAACCCAGAATTTAATTATGATAAGTCAGTATTTAACTTGATAACCCAGAATTTATCTATTCGAATCCAGTATTCAACTATTATGATAACCCAGAATTCAATTATATGCCTGCATTTAACCCAATATTCAGTTATGATTACTAAGCATTTAACTTTGATAACCCAATTTATCTATTTGAATCCAGTATCTGACTATTATGATAACCCAGAATTAAATTATAAGTCTGCATTTAACTTGATAACCCAATATTCAGTTATGATTACTCAGAATTTAACTTTGATAACCCAGAATTCAATTATGATTACGCAGCATTTAACTTTGATAACCCAGAATCCAATTATGATAACCCAAACCATCAACATTTTGATCTTGATAAATTTTACATACTTGCTATGATTTGTATATTTCACTATAGATCCAGTTTCATGTTATATATTGTACATTTTACATTACCTATTACATAACATTTCAGTTATCCATCTATTTGTATAAACTCCTATATCCCGCCAGGTTTCTAATTTCAGTAGACTTATATTTTAACATACTTGCTGTTACTGGTATATAAGGGTGTCTAGAAAATGAGTTGTCTGTTTGAGGCAAGGCCGGAAGCCCCTGTAGGCCAGTGGACATAGGGCTGCCAATAACTCAAAAACTGTTCATGAAAAAAATTGTCAATCATTGTGAATGTTCGTATAATGTTTAAACAAAATCAGAAAAAATTTACTTTTATCAAGCAAATTTTAATCAGAGTCAAGGGCAATAACTTAACTGTTATCTGTTCTAGATCTGCATATTAACCAGTTATGTTGAAAAGGTAGACAGACAGACAGACAAGAGCAACAGCAATATTTGTCCACATTTCTTATGTGTCCATAAAAAGCAAATAACAATATATATCAATTTATTCAAAACAATATAACTTCTAAAGTTTTCTTTTAAATTTCAATAAATAGTTCAGATTGGTATACAAAACTAAAATTCCTAATTCCCTAAATCCACATTATAATTATAATATAATGTCAATTTAAATCCTATATCTTTCCAGACATGGTATTTTTTATTAACATCAGCAGTTTAACCTATTTAAGAAATTCGCTGCAGCAAAGAAAGTTAACCATCAGGCCTAAAAGTTTTCTTGGTCCAAGGAAATTTGGTCACATATGTAATTGCTAGATAAACTGTTTTTGGTACTTTTAATCACATTACTATGCATCAGTCTACTAAAAATGCCATTGTGATTAGCTTATTTTACTGTGGTCAATTTACCTGGTGACCAATTTACTGTTATAGGATTTCCTTGTGACTTAACTACTGTGACCATGGGACTATATTACTGTGACTAATTAACCACATGACAAATTTGTCTGTGATCAAATTACAATGTTCCAAGTAATTCATCAATTATTATTATGAGTTTGAACGTCACTGTCTCAACATTTAAATTCTTAAGTTTTAATTTCATTAATATTAGACATTAAGATGTATTTATCTTGCAAAGTATTTTTTGTCACAATCAAACACAACACATTTGGAAACTTCTTATCCATTATTGCCAAATAAAAACTTATATTTTTAGATCTAATCATTCTTCAGAATTCTCATGTTGGGCATAGTGCCTAGAATGAAAGTTGAAAGTCAATTATGAGAACAAAGCAAATACCCAATGCACTAACAGAGGCATAAAAATTGCCTTCACATGAGAAAATATGAACATGACAAGAAATGGCAAAGAAAAAAAAGATAAAGAGGGGAAATTTAATCGTGTGAAATATTCAAAATGGACATGTTGAATCTATCAGAAAGGGCAATGAAGCACAATTATTAAATTATAGAAATATAGTTCTCTAAATATTTCCTTTACTAGCAAATAAAACTCATCTCAAGCTAATCCTGACATTTTCCAAAATGCAAATGATGCAAAATGCACTCTTGCCAATATTGCTAATATCTGCAACACATTAATCACTTACAAGTCTCAACTTACTGATTATGTTAAACTGAATGAGAACCAAATTTCTGCTTATAAATCTGAAAAGTGATATGGATTCTTGAAATTTAATTTTGTAAAACAAATATTTGGAAATATAACAAGATAACAATTGAGGTAATTTATTGCCAAAGTCATCTTGCCTTTTTCAAGGGATTTTTCCATTGACAGAAATGTTTTTATGATTATGCTAAGTCCCTACCTCAAAAAAGAACACAACAAAGACTAGATGAGTTGATTAGATTCTGTAAGCTATATTACTATTAAACAAATTTGAAAGCAACTAGATAAAATAAATAACAAAACTCACAGAAAGATATTACATTTCAACAAGAACATAAAAAGTATACAAGAATAACCCCTTAAAATATTTTCTCATAATTGAACTGGGTCATTTCCTTCAATCATGTTTCTTAAATTGCTGTCTTTCAAGCTGCATGCTCAAGGTTTGTGATGAATTTTTAAAATCAAAATAATATAGGTATCATAAAATAAATAAATATTAAAACAGTTATTTTTTAAGCTTAAGATATATAACTTTAAGGTAACTGCACCAAACAACAAGAACTCTTGTCAATGTTTTAGAACTAACTAATAGAATTATTTCTTAGATTTTACTCTGGCAGAGCTGAGTCTTGCAGAGCCCAACATGTACTATATTTTAAATAAGCAAATTTCAGGCTAACGTTAGATATAAATGCATATATAAATAGTATACACATTTTCATTATAGGGATTGTAAAGAGGTTTTCTAAATTTTCTATGTGTATCAGGGACACTGACAGCATCAATATGCAATATTCCAATTTTCAATCAGATGTCTGTGGTTCCTGCAATTCCATTAAAACTTTACAATTTGATAAAGGCCTCATGTGATACAAGCATATTTAAGGATTAATGATGTCATCAATTGATTAGTTTTAGTTGGATTGCAGAAACCACCGACTGATTGAAAATTGGAAGGGTGCAAATTGATGCTATCAGTGTCACAGATACACATAAAATTTTAGAAAACACCTTGACAATCCATTTAACAACCAAAAGCGAAGCTTTAGCCAGAAAAAATCCTATTTATGAAAGTATGTTTGATAATAACCTTGTCCCATGAATCAAACAAAATATATTATAATGATAAAAGAAAAAATACCCCACAACAAAAATAATGTACATAACCCCACATAATCAATAACACCCATATTCTTAACAAACAACTAATTTTATTGGGTAATCTTGTCCCAATTCAACAAAAAATACTCTTATCTAAATTTATCATAAATACATTTAAATTTTCATATGTAAATTTTGAATTTCATGTGAAGATTTCTTGTGATAATGGCCCTAGAATACCTACATTTGTAAGTAAACTGACATCTCAAATAGTGTAGTTCTTTAAAATCACCAAAAAATGGCACCATAAATTTGATAAAAAACTGAACAAATAAACTGGTGTAAGACATTTAGAGAAAAATTGTTAAACCGGTAGATATGCCAAATATATATTGCTTTTTACATTGAGGTGAAGATGGAGAAAGAATTTCTGAAACCCAAAACAATAACCAACAACAAAATGCTAAAATAATTGACTTAACCAATCAGGAAAAACCAAATGCACTTAAAATCAAAGCAAGAACTTTACTATTCTTCTTGTCACACAATTCTAAGCTATATTCTATACTGAATATTAAAGCACCAAAAATATAAATAAATAAACACAAATACCACTCAATGTCTTAATAACCCACGAGGATGATATCGAATATGGATCCGTCTCTTTTTAATAAAACGAAACATAAAAAATAGAATAACAAAGCAACACACTGAGAAAAACACAAAAGATGTTCGTAGACCAGATGGTTCAGCATTAGAGGGATGTTCTAAACTGGTTCCGACAAAATTTCCTTGAATACTTTCAACGCTGTTTATTTCATTATTATTACTATTGTGTACTATATCATGATTATCTATTTTGATATCATTATCATTATTGTCTAAAGGTTTTATATCTAAGTCGATATTGGGTGGAATATTCTTTATTTTATTATCTTCCTCATAATAAGTATAATCCCCATCCTCATTGGCTTTCTGATTTTTCTCATTCAGATCACCTTCAAAATAATTTTTATGTTTTCCAACATCTTTTCCAAAGTGCACCACCTTATGTTTACTGTTATCATTGGGATTAGCATCAGGGTAAATATCTTCATCTTTTATCTCTTCATTATCTTCATTATAATCTGGATCTTCATTTTCATTAACATCATTGTATTCATCATCCTCATCTTCTTCATCTTCATCTTCTTCCACGATATCGTTAACATTAGGATCATCAACACCTTGGTCTGGATTGAGATTAATTTCTGAACCTAACTCATCTTTATTGACTGGTATTAATCCCTCTTGCTTTACTTTCCTTGATTCTCCACCAGCTGGATTTTCATCTCTAATAGGTGACAGTAATGATCTGGAGGTTTCTTGTAGTATATGATGTGATCCATGGAAGTCCATCGGTCCAGGATCAATCAAAAAGCGCAAGTACATAACTAATGCTCCAGCTGCTACAGCTGTAGTATGAGCTAAACAGCCATCTGAAATGATAGATAATCAGAACACTTTTTCATGGTATTTAAACTTAAAGGGACAGATGCACCATTAAGGGGAGTTGATTTAGTCTTAAATATATGTAAAAAAAATCTTCAGAAGTACAAGAAATGTTAGAAAATCGCATACTTCCTTAAAATATACTTCAAACTGGGAATTCTATTCACTATTTCTATATATATATATATATGTCTTTTCTATATATCACAGGGGATATCTAAAAATGACGAGTCGTCATTTCAACATTCAAACACGGATAATTCTAGGCGCACATGCATCTAAAGGCTGAAATTTCGACAGTGAGCTTTTAACATTCTTACTAATTGGTTTTTAGCTAGAAAATTCCTGTTTCTGAGACTAAAGTATCATTGGTCGAATAAAATGGCCCTCATGTCCCTTTTAAGATATTTTTATACATTGGAAATCTCAAAGGGGGTCATCCCAAGTCAAAGGGCTGGAACAATTTTACTGCATTATGTTTGATATATTACTGGACTTGACCCTTTACAAGTCAGGAATAACATATATTTGCAATTGAAAAATATTAAGTCGTGCCCTCAATTACATTGACTATTTATATGTATTTAAGAATTAAATGTTGGTCTCAATAGCATTATATTGTTGTGTAAACGCAATTGATCGATATGTTTGTGGCATGATCAATTGCGTTTACACACCAATAATGCTACTGAGACTAATGTTTAATTCTTAAATACATGTCACTAGTCAATGTAATTAAGCGCACAACATAATCGGTAATTTGTATTTGCCATAAATCTTGGATTGCATTCTTGTTCTTTGACTACGTCAAAGTGTCACATGACAAATTACAGCTTATCGAAAACATGAATGTCAATTTGTGTAACTGGTTCATTAAGGAAGAATCATTATTCCTTTTCTTAAACCCCACCTTACATTTCAATAAGAATTTTCATTTAGTCCTGTTGCCCCAATTAAAAATGTTACATTTCATCAGCACATATCTTTACCTCAGCTTCATGAAGACTTGTATATTAGATTAAATTAATTTAAATTGCGAAAGTAAATTGCAAGACTAAAAAATTATCATATACATACCTTTCATTTCTTTATCAACTAGTAATTTTCTACCAATTCTCACTTGATTCAGGATTGGCTGGTTCATTCTCCGCATTTGGTTAAAGTTTTGATTTGGTAAAAATGGATTATGTCTATTGATTGATTTAGTTATTTGATTGTACACTGGTTGATTTCTATTTTGGTGGTTGTTTTGATTTTGAAAATGTTGATTTAAATTTTGATCATTTCCATTATGTTGATTTAATTGGTTTTGAACAAGTTGATTTCCACCAGGTTGATTTTGATCATGCTGATTGCCATTGAGTGGCTTCAAGTGACTTTGTACACCTTGATTTAGTTGATTTTGAAAAGGTTGATTTACAACAGGTTGATTTACCTGCCTCCCATCAGCTTGATTGGCACCATATCCAGGTTTTAAGGCTTGATATAAGTGAGAATTTAGGATATTATTTTTGAGATTATTAACATTGTTTATATGAGGTATTGTATTTCTATTGTTTATTATGCCTTGGTAAACATTGGGTTGTTTTGTCGGGAAGTTTGTGAAAGACTGTTGAAGGTTATTAACAAACATAGACTGTTTCTGTTGTAGGTTATTTACATTAGGATTGCCGTGTAGATTCTGTTGATTATCAAATTTTAAATCTGGAATTTGTGGTGATTTTTCAGCCATAGCCTTGAGATTTTCCATAAATTTCTCTTTTGGAGCTTTCTGATCTTTATCTTTCATTATTGCAAAACATCCAGATTCAAACTGCCAAGATAATATCTGGTCTAGATATTCTTTTTTCAAAAACTCGTAAAAACCTAAACTTGGGCAAACAAATTCTGAAAAGATAAAAGCATAACATTAATCATATATCTTTTAGCTCCATGCAAGGTGGTATTAACTTTTTCATGACTGATTGTTTTGCCACTATGAAAGCAGTCATATATGACGAAATTGATATGTCAACTAGATTTTCGGTTTATTTTTTCTGCAGTTTACTACTAAACTTTTGCTTTATATCATGAACATTTATTCAAATTTTGCTCAATTATATAAATTGTTGTATTCTATGCTAACCAATTATGGATTGTAAACCATGAATAGTCTGGTGTAATAGCACTGAAATGATGACAATTTTCTCTTCATGGGGGAAAAATAGCAAAGGAGCAATCCAAATTTTTAGTAGGTAGGATTATTTTGCTTAAATTTGTTCCTTTAACATAACAGTTAAATATTATTTCAAAAGTTTATGTAAAGGTATGTTTTACAACGTTACAGATAATGAAAATTTTGCATACTGCCCCTTTAAGGCAAAGTAGAATATGCCGACATATTATATATATAAAAAGACAAGATTCAGTTGAATACTCTTAATGTAAATAAAAAATTTAATTTGTGTCAATATTGAAATATTGCAGGTGACAAAATCAATAAAAATCAAAATGAAAAGATAGATTGCAAGGCAAGGTAATATATGCCCTCTGGCAACTTTGATTTTAAATAAATATATTTGGTAGAAGGATTGAACCTTTCATTGTTTACGAGCTAAAAATTGAATGCGTTTTCAAAATGAGGTCAATAACTCATATACATGTAATATTTTTTATTCTTAATTCGGTTCATCAATGGCCGATAATAAACAATATCATCATCTGTCGAGATTTGTGCCTTCTAGAGTGATTACATGCTTTAAATTGAAAGCATTTTGAAAAACAAGGACAAAAAACAAACACTCACACCAAGTTTCATCCATATCTGTCAAGAATTTTCCCTTCTAAAGTGTTTACAAGCATAAAGTTGAACGCATTTTCAAAGCAAGGGCAATAACTCATACTAAACATTTTCCAATTTTTCTGATTTTCAATAGGGTTCATCCTTGGGTAATTACAAACACTCATATCAAGTTTGTCAAAATCCGTCAAGAATTGTGTCTTTCAATTGTGGAATGACAGACCTTGTTGACAGCAATATATGACCTTCATTTCATGTAGGTGTATAATAAGACAGCTGAGTTTGAATCAAATTATATATTATGATATTAAAATTAGATATATTTATCATTCAATAGATAGTAATAAATTATTATGTTGAACACATTGCAGATATATCTTATAGATTTATAATCAGTTATTTCTACCATTTATTACAGTGATTCTTAACATCAGTGATCCTTGAAAGATTTCTTCTAAATTGTTTCCACCCCAAAATAAGTCATTCATTTTGAACACATTTCACTCGAAAAATGTATTCAATAATTAACCATGAATGGATATAAATTCAATATAAAGTCCCTTAGGCCGCATGTTTATTCACGGTTTTCTATATGTCCTGGTTGAGTGTCAATTTCAGTCGTAGATCACCTTGTATACCATTTTCTCCCCGGTATGGCAATAATTCCTAATTATCCCTTTTCATCATACTTTTCTGCTCTAGTTTAGATTAATGAAGAATAACTGCATATTGTGTGCAATGAGAAAAATAATGTGAAGACAGTGTCATTAGCCTACACTAAACACCTTAATTTTATCCAAGGGCCAAACCAGATAGATATGTTTAAAACTTTGCCATGATTGAGCCCCTGGGTTAGGAAGCAAACATTCAGAACAACAGCTTAAAGAGGGTTAACAGCATGGCTGAACAGATGTGACACAGGGATGTGGTACTTCCCTATTAAATGGAGAGATTATCAAATGAATAGCTTCAATATAAATCAATAACATCAATTTTCCTACATTTATATTAAAGAGATAATATAGTCTAATAAACACTTAAACAGCTTATTGAATTTATAATATGTTACCCACTTTCAAAATTAGAAATCTTATACCAGGTTTGTCTAATTTATTAACAACTCCATTCATCTGCTAAAAGAGGTGACAGTAATCAAAGCAGATTGTTTATTTGAATAATTTATATTTCTGCCTTTCAAATGCACCGTTTATCAACTTGTATTCATTTATGACTTATTACACTCTGAAATGACTTCTCAAGATAAGTATCCTTGTCCTCTGAAATGACTTAAATCACTATTGTCTTACTGTGAAATGACTTAAATCACTACTGTCTTACTGTGAAATGACTTAAATCACTACTGTCTTACCGTGAAATGACTTAAATCACTACTGTCTTACTGTGAAATGACTTAAATCACTACTGTCTTACTGTGAAATGACTTAAATCACTATTGTGATTGAGATCACTTTTATTACACTCAGAAATGACGTCTAAGAATAACTATTATTGCACTCAGAAAAGACAGAGATAACTGATAATGACTTCTAAAGATAACTAGTATTGCACTCTGAAATGACTCAGATAACTAATATTGCACTCTGAAATGACTTAGATAACTAATATTGCACTCTGAAATGATTAAAATAACTTTTATTATACTCAGAAATGACATCTCAGAGATAACTACAATTGCAGTTTGAAATGACTTAGCTAACTAATCTTGCACTCTGAAATGACGTAGATAACTATCATTGCACTCTGAAATAACTTAGATTACTACTATTATTGTATTCTGAAATGACTTAAATCACTATTATCTGAATTGAAAATGACACATCCATGGGTTGCTTTAAACACAACTTCTGTTTTATATAAAACTATTAATATAGCAGGAAATAATATTATCAAGTAACTCTCATTAAATGGAAAGCAATTTAATTCAGATCATTGATCAACCCTAAAATTAAAGGTCTACTTGACATTTTAATTATTTTAAATAAATGTTATCAATATGAGCTGTTAATTCCCTATAGCCTTTCAAATTCAACTGCTTATTCTTGTGTACATTATTAGAATGACTTCTTATGAATGAAATCTAATACCATATTTGAGTTTAGGGCAGGACAAGATTTTAATTCTTTGTTCGATGCCTGTACGAAAGGTTAGAAAACCTCTTTATAATCCATTTAAAATAGAAATCATTTGCTTATAAAACAAAGATATATCAGCCCAATTTTGCCCTTATTAATCTCAAACATTCAACCTATCCATGCATCTAAAAATCAACTATTATAACCCTTTGTTATTTATTCATCAAGTTGAAGAACAAACTACTAACAAAAACACGAAGGAATATCAAAACTGGCATATGCATTCAAATAATAATGTCAACTGTAACTCTTAGTCTTATCTTCAAAACAAAGGCAATGTCTATAATGTCATGGAAGTCTAACACCCTGACACATTATGTTACACTGTAGGAAAATCAGATATTGAATATCATAAATGACAGCTGACTATAACAAGGATGTTAAGCCTTTTTTTCACAATTAGTTTTTTTGTTGATCAATCTATCAGAAATAACTGAAGTGACAAAATAAAAATTATCAATTTGTAATCAAAATAAAAATCAAGTTATATACAGGTTGACAAAGCACTAAAAACTTCTATCTTCACAATGTCAAGCTATAATGAACTAATAATGAATAGTGTTTTATAAATCAACTTTATTGGACTCATTTCTTGTATCAAAGTGTTTGTAAATGCAGCAATTTCATTGGATTTTCCACTTCTGAATACAGCCCTTGACAGAAAGTCTGTTAACGATAAGCAATAATGTTTACAGTCTTTAGGTCAAGAGCTCTGATTAGCTGTATTCCCTAGCGTAAACACAATCAAATTGCTGCATTTTGTGATACAAGAAAAGAGTCAAGGTATTAGACACAGTTGATAATAGAATGACATTGTTAAGATCATGAAGAACAACTGTGATCATCTGGTTGGTAAAAGATTTCAATCACTCTATATTCAATACTATACATTATTTATTATATTTCAAATTAGCAAAATCATTAAAGATATTTAATAAATGAGTATACAGAGCAAACCAATTTTTCACATGATTTGTTTCGTTTTAGCCACACCTGTGTATATTGTTCTGAAGCTATTCAAAAGAAAAACACCAATTTATTAATTTTCAAAAGACTTCATTCATGGTTGATAATAAACAATTTCAAAAATCTGTCAAGAATTGTGCCTTGTAGAATGTTTTCAAGAACAATTATTTTGTTTTTGAGTTATTTGATTTACAATAGGGTTCATCTGTGTGTGGTAATTTCATCAAAATCCATTGAGAATTGTGCCTTCTACAGTGTTTATGAGTAATAGTGGAGGTAATAAAGGACTGACCACCAGACATGAGTACCCTAAGAATTTAGTATACCCATGCCAATCAATAACAAAGATTCATCAAAGTCTGTAGATTGAGAATTTGCTAATTTTGAACAGATAATAAATCATCTGTGAGTAGTTCATTTCTACAGTTCACAATGTTAATATATACTGTTCAGAGATGCAAGGTACACTGTTTATATTTTTCAAACTAAACATGTGCCAAATAGAACTTCTAGTTCTGTTGCACATGTGCATAATACATCAAACACATGACAAATGATTTTTACAGAGTTACACAACTAGCAAAAGGTATCAAATTAATCAAAGATGTTATAATTTTCATATCAAGTCGGCGTAGTTTTCATTTTTCAAGACTTATAAAGGTACAATACTACAAATAGTCACAGTTGGCATCTGTTTTAGTTATAGTATCATCTTATGTATATTGAACATTGACAAATCATGTAGAAATTTCATTTCTTAATATTGTCAAGTGAGGATTATTGTTTCATATTGGGTTCAGATGGACTATGAAAGTTTTATGATATTGAAATTTCAGGACAGTTGACCATTTAGTTGTACAGAATAACTGTAATGAATATTGAGAGCAAATTCTAACTATAGTATGGAAAATAAAAGAAAGGACTATACTTACGCTGCTCTAAAAATAAATCTTGATAATCTCCAGTTATAGTCCCCTGCATGTAAATATGTACCACAGCAGCCATTTCATAAAAATTGTTGGTACAAAATTCAGTCTGCATTTTACTAACACTGGTTTCTTTAGCAGATCCCAACAAACTACCCAATTCTTGAAGACAACCAGCCTAAAACAATCAGTTAAATTTAGGAATTTTTGGAATTCTTTGTCTGTTTTGACAAGTCATTTTAGATTGGCAATATCTTCATTCACATTGTTGATGCATCCCAAATCTGACAGCTGTGGCCTCTATCACATTCAGAGATTTCATTAATATACATCTAAACTGATCTTTATTGGATTCATATTAGAATTTAGGTCTAAAAATAATAATTTATCATCCTTTCAACCATTAAAAGAGACAGCAAAAATATTTCCACACAGCTAATTTTCTCGTGACAAATTGTCATAAATGGGCTTCAAAAGGTAAGAGAGATATTTCACAGCGGAAATTGTCAAACTTTCTGACATAAGTGACACAAAACGGACCAACTGACCTTTTCAGCTAACATTGTCCACAATAATTGATGTGTTATACCATACTCTGTTAAGCCTTTAGCTGTCATAACATCTAGACAGTTCTTAGTTATGGTACATTTTTTAATATTTTTATCATTACCAGCTATATTACTCATACAGGTATCACTTACACTTTCATCAAATTTCACTGCAAAAAAAGAACTTAATATTTTTAACTGATATAGCTGTTCAAATAATTACTTTACCATCTCATCACTTTTCAGAATAAACTCTTTAAATAAAATAAAACATATACCCTATATTCAAATTACCCTACTATAAATTATAAGGTATGACATAACATTATGTGACCTCACAATCATGATAATGACCACTCTGTATTATATCACATAATTAGCAGCAAGGTCAATCTAATTTTGTTTCTTTATTATATTTTTTTGTCAGTCTCATTTGTAATCTAACAAGATTTATACCAAGGTAAAGTACTGGTGACGTTTCAAGCAGACAATCACTTGCCATTCTACTGCCAATCAGAATCACTTTTACAAGCGAGTATCTGCATTCTCATAATCTCATTGGTCATATCACTCTAGTTTGGGTTTCGTTATCCCCCAATCCATAGTTGATATTTGACACAGTTTTTGCATGACATGCTTTGATTTGTTGAAATGCGGCCTTGTGGTATAAATCTTTTAGATAACATAGAAGATAATAATGAAATAAATTTGGATTGCAGTATGACTGATATCCATTTCCAAAAAATTTGACAAGCTGAAAGTGAAAATAATCTGAACTGCAACATCCCTTGAAAAAGCTTATCTGTAAAACTGTAGAAAAAATAGACATCACATTTATTCTGAAATAAGGCAATTGATAATTGAACAGGATTTCTTTCAACTGGTAAAGCAACGTCTCTTTTCTTAGGCCTATTTTATAAATTTTACATTTTGATGACTTCAAATTTATAAGGTCCGTTGATGTATACATATTAAGAAAGACAGATCTTACCTGATTTACTGAGTTTGTATATTTTTGGTGTCCATCGTAATTCAGCATCCAATTTTCTGTGTTTATGTGCAATATCCCAGGGATGTTCTATTAGGTATTTTAAATTGTTATAATATTCTTCATCATCCTGTTTGACAAATTCTAAAGCTTCAGCACTAACAGCTGAACTAGTATTTGCCAAGGACTGAAGTTGTGATAGTATGTTAGGAGTAAACCAAGCATGACTACCATTTTTATGCTCAGACAGTATCAAATGAATGTGACCTGAAATAGATTAATTCATTATTACAACAGATTATTATAAGGTGATTGCATCATTCCAATTTTCCTTGAAGAATATGATTAGCAGCTTTTGAGATCGTGATGTCAGATATATTTAAGTAATTCTATAATCACCATACATATACCCTAACACATCTGACAAAAAATCTGATAACTTTCTTTATATGCTTGACATACACAAGAGCCAAATCCCTTGCAATATTAGCAGCCAACTGTGACTAATTTGAGTTATTATTTGTAACACTTTATTTAAAGAGTCTCATGCACAAATAGCACATCCTATATTTTACAAACTACAAAATTAATGTAATGGTGTCCAAGTTGTTAAAAAAAATAAAAGCAAAATTATTTCTTTTCTTAGCAAGTCAATGTTACAAACTTAAAGTAGTGACTTTCAGGTATTTTGAACAATTGGAAATCATGCCAATAACAAGACAATTGTCCATGTCGAAGATTGTGGAGATACTATTTACAGACAAATTTCATGGCATATCAATGTAATGGTTTCATGGTATGGTAATGTTTTACCTCAGATGATAGTACTATAGATATATTTATTACAGTACTCAGCCCTAGGCTCTTTTTACTGTCATAAATTAATTCTTTTCTTATAAAAATCCATTATTAAATATATGCGAAGAAGAATTGAAACAAAAAGGTTGATAGAAACAATAACTTGGCAACTACAATTGGGTGATTATAAAAAGTACTAAACCATGGTACTGGTATTTGAATTTCAATATTGTTTATCTATATCCAAGATCAGGTTTTAATGTCCATACCACAGATATTAAAGGGAATTTAGTGAGATTTTAGCCGGTATAGGGTACATCAGAGAATATTATCAACCAAGGCTCATACCCAAGGATGCCCAAAAAAAGTCTGACATTGGTGCTTGTTGCACTAAATTTTCCCTTAGAATTTTAAATGTTAGTTTTAATATTAATAATGCATGAAATTTCAGTTTAAAAATGGTTTATTCAACTTATGGTCTTGTCCCTTTAAATTCTTCTAGTTCTAATCATTCTGATTATAATGCCGGTCTGAAAGTTAACAATAACAGTTATCTCTTCATGGAAATAGGTTACATAAATTAATGTGGTTTTCAAATTCAGTTTACAGTTCACAATAATTTGAAACTGTTTAAGTTGTTTTTAAGTCTCCTGAACTATGACAAATGCAGAAATTAATTGAAAACTTGTTGGTGTGCCAATTTTCCTTTGAGTAAAAATTCCACACCTTTTATTTTATCTTTTGACATTATTTCATGTCATTTTATCATTTAAATAAGCTTATATATACGCAGGTACTCTCTGGCCACATCAAGTTCTAAATCACATTTTGGCTATCATTTTTGTATGAATTGAAATATTAATCTCCATATATTGCTGAGAGTCTTAGATTGTCTATGGGTTGATGAAAATGCCAACCATTGAAAACAATTTTATCATTTGAAACTATGATTTTACAGAGGGAGATTTTCAGTCCAAAATGTGTCATTTTCAAATGAAATTTCTTGGAGAGAAGTGTGTTCATTTCAAGAGCAAAATTTTCAAAACTTATATATTCATGGACCCAAAGGCATTCTAAGACAATTGGTATTCACTTGAATATTTTGAATAAGCTTAGTTGTGACATTAGAGAAAAAATTCAATTTAGAACTTAATGTGGCCAGAGAGTAGTTTTTATTGAAATTTCTCGACAATCCTCCTTTAAAAGGAGTAATGTGTATCTATACATAAAATCTGAACTTTGATATCAGTATGAAATCGGGTATACCTGTACATGATATCGATGCTATATTTTTTTGTTGTTGTAAATTTGACACCTTTCACAATGGACACAAGACATTTTACACCGAAAGATAACTTTTCAGCATATTTCACATTTAAAAAGCTAAAGGGTCAATGGCTACTTAATATGTATTCACAGTAAATGTCTGTATCGTCAAGTTACTACCTTGACTGATAATGGTTATTTGAAATTTAATCTCTTTTATAATAATTTCTATGGGATGCATATGATAAGCTTACAAAATCCAATTCAAAAGCTTTTAAATAAGCCTACAGATAACAAATGAAAATATACCCAGTAGTTCATCTCAAGTAAAAAGGCTTAAGAGCAAGATAATGCGTAGTTTGCCAGTTAGCTAGAGTGACAGCAGAAATTTTATGACCATAAATTTGTCAAATTTATAAGCTTGTCCCATCTCATCATCTACTAAAATAGGATGATAAAAAAGGAGTTATTTTGATTTATTCATAATCATATGCTGTAAAGTAAACAATTTAGCTAAAGTTCTTGAAAGGTTACCTCTCGGCCTCCGCCAATGTTTTTAATATAGGCTATAGCTGCAACTTTCATCAGAAAATGTTTTGTTTCAGATCAGATTAAATATTTCTTGTGTTTTTTAAAACCAGATCAGCTAATCTTATTGACATGCCATTTACTAAGATAATGAGTTTATATTAGGCCTATACTATAGCCCACTTGGTAATTTGTCCTCAAGGACGTCTGTCTTGATGTGACAATGTTTTGTCGTGATTGTTTGCTGTTGCTGTTGTATTAGGCTACCTAGTGAGGTATACATACAATGACTATTTCCTGCGATAAAGATAATAAACAGACACTTCCACTGCCAGACCAACTTACCCTCCGCAGCACGAAGACCAAAAAGTCCATCCAAATTTAGATCACGATAATTTCCTTTGTAAAATTTCAGCAGTTTTTCTAAGGCTGATATTACTCTCTTCAGAGATGTGTAATTGTCTTCACAATAAATATAGGGCAGTGTAAACAATATTAGAAATAGTATAAGTTTGGTCGCCGCCATCTTCTGGAGGCGACCGATACACAGCTGATTTGCTACTAGATGTCGCTAGTAGTCTAATCCAAAGAAAAATCGTCTGCTATTCTCCTCTGACGTTTACTCGGGCTACTGCACGGATCGGTCTGTGCCTTCAGGGTGGTATAAAGGTCTACTTGCGCATTGGAAAATGATATCACTCAGCAGATATGATTATATAGTAGGCCTATTCTTTGTTATGTCAGACTACAACAATCATACTCATAGAATCGACCAGTCCAGTGCAGTTAGTTAGGCCTGTTAACCAGCCCAATGTGGCAAGGGGTGGCCGTATTTGCATGGTTGGGGGCTATAAGCGGAGGGAGACTGATTTCAGCTTCAATGGAGAATTTGTTCGAATTTTCCAAAAGGAAGGGGCGAGGGGGCTGTTTGAGTTGTCCCTTCTGAGTAGGGCAGTCCAGTAGTAATAGTAAGATGGAGAACAATGGCTAGGGATGAAGACACTGAAAGTATCTGATAGTGATATTAAGGTCATTACACCATGTTGCTATTAAGATGTAACATAGGCCTAGAACAAGAGAAGTTATCATTAATTATGAAGTAGAGAAATTGCCACAATTATGTTATCATAGAGTTATAAGTTTTTATTATAGGCTAACTCATGGGTGTTAGATACTAGCTACAAATACTTGGGAAGGTTAAAAAATGATTTGAAAATATCTGATATAGGCCTATGTAATGTTGATATAAAGATGTCAACAGAAAGTTAAAAGATCTGAAAGTGTCTGATATAGCCTATAGGCCAATATACCATGTTGATATGTGAGTCACAAGAGTTGACGAGAGGGTAATGTTAATATAAAGATAACACAAAAGAATGTTCAATAACCGTGAAGTATCTGGGGCCTACATACTATTTGATGTCAAAACAGATGGTTAAATGACCTGATTATATCTTGTTTGGCCAATGTACCATATTGTTGATATAAGCGTCACAGGAGAAGTTATCATTATAATCATGATGTAAAAGTTGTCACAAGGGTGATTAAACAAGTTAATTTACCATTTACCAGCAGATAATTTTGAAAATACTAACTAAACTACATTTAACAGTGCTTAGAAATACAGGTATATATAGTTCTAACTTCTTGACCTAGGTCCGTGCTTTTTATGTGAATTTTATGAGCTGGACAATTACTGAAATATTATGTTATAAAAGGTTGTTATTATTTTCATTACAAATATCTGATACATCATTTATAAATAAAGATGTCAGAGCAGAAGGTTATTCTAAAAAATATATATTACCAGACATAGAGAAGAAGGTCAATATTTTTTCTATTATAATGAATAGTATCCGAGTCTATTGCCTTGAAGTGGCATTTTTAAAGACCTACATTTCATATTTGATATATGGAATAATGTCAACATATATGATCATGAATGGTCCAATATCTGAAAGAATGACATAACTAGAAACTATTGTTCTATTTAATGTAAGTACCTTCATACATCCAGATGCAACAAGATATAAGTAATTAGACATTTATATAAATAACAAATAATAAAACAATGACTCTTCTATGACAAATATTAACCAGAACAACCTCTGAAAAATGACCATTGTATGTAAATACTCAGAATTCATCTTTCTATATCTATCTGACAAAATGAAATCTGTTGAATGCATTGATCACATTTCAAATCAAATATAATAATATATCAATAACAAACAATAGAAAAAAATATTAGAAAAATAACAGTCATACAACATAACATGTTTAGTGTTCCAAGTTAAATGTTTATATTTATAGGGAGATGTCTTCAACAGAACTTGATGGGGCCAACAAGACAGTAAATAACAATTCTTAATTCATACACCAATTAAAGATGAAGTTCTGAATAATGATTGATCCCAATATTTGAACACAATAAACAACCTGAGTTTGATATGATACATAAAAAGAGTATTTAATATTAATCTTAGTGATCTATTCAATTGTGCTGGAAGCTAATATAAAACCTTGACAATCTACATCAAACCTATTACAATTTCTATAGGTTTAGAAATGTTGTTCAAATCGTTTAATTCAATTACAGACAATCACCTGACAAAACATCTACACCATATGAAAATGTGGCCAGTCAATTAAAATACAGCTTCACGTCATTTGGTCACATGAACTAACATAGTGTGCCAATTTGAGTTTAACATATTCTCCAAGCCTTTTTACATCCATATTTATTTCTTTAGATTAAGACTATACAGATAATTCATTATAAAAAATAATAATCGAATAGTTTGCTTGATTTTTCTACAAATAATGCAGAAAGCAAACATAATCGTGGTATAATATTAAATTTAAACTCAATATTCAGAGTGAAAATAAATTTCATACAAATAAAAAAACAAAACACAACAACTTGAATGCAAAGATTAGTCATAATACAGTTTACAATGTTTTCAATATGCTTTCTTCAATATACTAAACCATTTGCTTTCAATTAATAAACTATACCCTGGGTTTTCATTCATTATAAATGTCCTGTGATTTATTATTTTGTGAAAGGGACTTTTAAGCTTCCAAAGCTTTTAGAGTTATTTTACTATTCTACAAATGAAAACTAAGGCACATACTATAATTTATTTGTAATTGAAAAATTTTTACTATCTTTTTTATGTATAAAAGTGTAAAGTCATTTTAGGACATCTTCACTATTTTGAAAATTTTAATCTAATATCTCATTCTTAATTTCAAGTAAAATATCAAAAAATAAATATCAAATACATACTACACACAAATTACTACAAATAGGGAAACCTACATTATCATTTTAAATAATTATCTAGAGCTACTCATTATATTTTATAACAAAGTTCAATACTGAAATCAAGATACACCATTTCTAGCCATACTTCAGTTTCAAAGCATCAATTTCAATCTGAGCTTCTTTATCCTAAAATTTAAAAAAAATAATTAAGTCCTCTGACATAGATATAGTTCTTGCTTTAAGTTTGAGAATAATTCAAAGTCAGAGTTTGATATAAGCATTTGAAATTATTGTTTAAAAACTTACACTAGGATCCTTAATTGGGACAATTGAAGCCTTATTCAGCCATTCTTTAGCCTTTTCATAATTTCTAAGTTCTATATAACACTGAAATAGACATAGTAAATCATAATAATGATAAAGCAAATAAACTAACAATGTGAAAGAGAATTGTCAATGATGAATTGTTAAAAAGATTTGTGAATGATTAACATTTGATTTCAAATCATTGCACTGAGTGCTTAACTTTTGTCAATTTGCTTATCACTGATTATTAAAACAACTTTCCTACCTTGGCTATAAATAACATATTTTCTTTCCATTTTGTATCTTTTAATTTATCGGCCTGAAAAAAAATATTTTGAAAAATCATCAAAGTGTTGTCAATATGAACTTGATTGAACTATCATATATCAAATATTCTGAGCAGATGAATCATCCATGGGATGACTGATCAAGATATCTCATGTTGGATTATAATGGAAGGATTACCTCTAAGAAACTATTTAAAGCATCATTAATGGTAGCTGATGGAGGTGAAGCATACAATGTAGCTGCTACTTTTCTCTCTATCCATGACAACATATATACCTGTAACAAACTCAATATTTTATATTTTGAAGTTGGCATACAACTGATGATCATACATGTAATTTCATGACAAATTGGCTGAACCCTACATAGACTGATTACTGTCAATAAAAACTTCCAAAGGATAACAAAAAGGGAATGCCACAAAAAGAACAGTAAAACATGCTTTTCATGAGAATAATGTTCATTCAAATGACCAATTTGCCAAAAGATTTCAGTATAGTCTGAATTTGGTTGAATCAATATCTGGCCTCTGATTGTTTTTATTGATGGAGTTTGTCCACATTAGGGTCAGAAAAGTACCAGAAGAATCTGTTTTAAATTTCCAAACCATCAGAAGGTTAGAAAGTTTTCTTAAACATGGCATGGTATTACATAAGTGTAATATGGTTTATACAAAAATATGACAAAATACTTGAATACCTACACTATAACACCATCTACCTAACATATAATGATTTGATGGATCAGTGGGATTAAGATCTATAGCTCTTTGAATATGTTCCTGAAAGTGTAAATTTACATGTTACACCATGTGGGATATTCACCAGCTGCAGGAGCTCAATTGCTCAATATACTTAAGCTAACTTGTAACTATAATCTTCTACATATACATTAGTATTCATATAATAATTTACTTATCACACAATAGATGTACAAATAATTAGACAGTACTGAAAAGTAAAAACACCTACTTTTATTTGAAAACCATTTTTGATTTTTTCTTGAGTGGAAAGATAATCACTCAGACTTCCTAAAGTGATAGCATACCTGGAATAAAGAGAAAAGCGCAGTTTAGATTTGACTTGATACTACCTCAACTTCATTTAGTTTAATTTTGGTTTCGTTTGTAGATGTGACCAATTGAATTTGAAGTTTAAAGATTTAAATCCTACCATTTATGGGAATTGGGATTGGAATCATAAAGTGATAAAGATGTACTAGCATTCCCAGCAGCCTCATATAACAGTTCCTTTTTCCTTTCAGCATTTCCTTGGTCACCTTTAATTTGAGCTAACAAATAAGCTGCTTTAGCAAGTCTCCAATAAAAATCTTCTTTTTCACTTATCTACAATAATAATATGCATAGAAATAACAACAACTGTATGTAAAATGAAGTCCAAAATTGGAAATACCATATACCTGTACTCTGTCGGTAAAAGTAACAAGAAACAAAAATGTGATTCCATGTAACTTCTGCAATTATCACTGGTCTTAAGACTTGGCAGCTACAACTGGTGCAAATAATTACTATAAGTTTATCTGTTAATGTTTTATTAATATTGAACCTTGTATCAAAAGTATTATCAAGACCCACCCATTCAAAATGGAGTTTGATAAGCTGACAAATAATGTAACATACCAACCTTTGATTTATTGGCTGTAAGTAGTTCATAAGCAAGATTTTTATTATCACCGGTTCCTTCAAACAATGTCTCAGTTTGATTAAAGATGTCTTCTGCTGCTTTATCACTGTCTATGGTAGAGTTTTCAGTCAAGTGAACATATTCCCCAGTCAACTCTTTTAATGATTCCAAATCGCTTCTGAAAATACATTACAACAATCATCTTTTTTAATACCAGTACATAATCGGTTTTAAATATTGTCCTTCTCTTACCTGTGAAATGGACACCATCTCATTAAATAATAAATGATACAGTAAATACAGGGTATCCACTCCTAATCTGTAGGCCTAAATGTAGTCTTGTTCTATTTAAACAGAGATGAGATTCTTTTTTAAGTCTGGAGGATAACTTAGTCCAAAGCATTGGTATGATGCCTATTATCAGAGAAATCAAAAAGATAAGAACAATTTCTGATAGATCATATTTAAGGCGCCTATGATTTTGAACACCATATTATTCAATTGTATTATTGTGGTCTGGAAAAACTTTTGGCTATAAGAGTTATCTAACTTGACATGTTAAGAGATCCATCATTGCCATATCAAAGGAAATGATTTCGCGAAGAAAACATAATAAATGACAAACCCTCCATATGCATCTTGATAAATATCATCATCTTCATCTCCACTGCTGGCTGTCACAGAGTAGAAACCCTGTAAACGCCTCCTCTTTCTGATAGTAAACTGGTTTTGGAAAGACTGGACTTCCTCCCGAAGCTTCAAAATAATGGCTGTAAGACCTCTTATTTCTCGATGTAATGAATTAATACGATAAATAAGATAAGTCAAACTACTACCTACAATAAACGAGGCACTCAATCCCGAAATAAGAAATGGATTTTGACGAAAAAAAGACATTGTTTATTCCAATATTATGAAGACATCAATAATTGTGAGACTTGATAATAAATGAACAAAGAACAGATAACTCGAAATATATAAGGACAACAAAGTGTTAAGCGGCTAGTGTTAAAGTGATATAGTTGTCAAAATATATGCCTCACAAAGTGATAAAGCTTAATTTAACCACCTTGAGAAATTAGCACAATCTGACCCTATCAATATATCAATCATAAAATAGTAGACCTACTGTGAGCAGTTACGAGCGATGAAGTCATGATTGGTAATATCTCAACGTGCGAATGAATAAAGCCTCGGAAGTCACCACAGTCTAGCCTAGGCTATTATCCAACAGTACGTCTTTATGAATTGTATTTGCGATATTGATGTCACAATTTGGACGTTTAAAGTAAAAGCTTAAATAATTCCTTAGCATTTAAGTCTACAGGCTGTTTTGTCGATAGCTCACCTAAACGATGTCTTGGGTTTGGTGTTGTCAAGTAGGCCTTGGTCGGAATCTTAAGGGACATCCCGCTATTTAGTAGGTCGAAAATTTTTTTGCTCAAATTTGTGAAAACTAAAGGCTACACCAAAATTAAGAGAAATGTGTCCCTTAACGTATCCAAAAGTTTTACGAAGCAGTGCGCAAACTTTTCATTTTGAAAAAAGATATAAATTATAAGTTAAAGGGTTTCTAAGGGTACATGGTAGGCCTAGTTCTGCCGTAAAACCACTGAGATTTTTAAATGATTAACGTACAATTTGGTGAAATTGTATATAACTGTTTCTTAGTTTTTTATTAAGCCATAAACCACAATAGGCCTTAGAATTTAAATGATTTATTATAATCTGTTTCGTGAATTTGGAATAAAAAGGATATCCTAGTCTATACAGTTATGTGAAATTTCTAAATAGAAATATTTGTATTCAGCTGAAACAGAACCTCGAATTCCGCAATCCGTTTTACTTTCAGAAATAGGGATACGTTAAACATTCCAAATCCTGTCTTGAAACATAAGTTTTTTTTATCTTCCCTTCGAAGTTCTAATTTTGGGCAGTTTTTTTTAAATTGTATGTTGTATCCAAATATTCTACGGGGTTTTTTTTGGCAGCTTTTATTTTCTTTTTTTGGAAAGCTACCCTCAGTCTATAAATGAAGATAAAAATCATTTCATAAAATTTAACGGTCATTTAAAGTAAACTGATTATTGGAATACTTTGTATCTCAGGCCTCAGGCGACAAATTGATATACAACTAAGCGCATTCATTTGCTTGAAAATTCAGTGAAGTCAGCCCCGTCGTTAGGGTGGGGTCCGTGGCCTGGGCTCCAGCAAGTGAAAATTAAGCCCCAGCAAAATCGTCTTCAGTTCAGCAAAGATATTACAGCGTTTTTGTACAAAATCAAAAAGACATATTTTGATAAGTTTTTCAGAACCTCAAAATTGTCGGAAATGACAATTCTTCAAATGTTGTGAGTACATAATCTGAGCCCCAGCACTAATTCATTCTTGGCGACGGGGGTGAGTGAAGTAATGGAATAAGGGGATGGCACCATCCTGGAAGTAGCTAAAGAACCCAACCGAGTCTAAAGGGGCTGGAGTCTATAGGATTCTAAATCGGGATTCACGGGTCTTGAAATATACCCCAAGGTCTTTTCCTCGTGGAATTAAAAGATAAACAGGAATAATTAGATTGATTAAATTACGACGTTCAATTGTAACTGACTTAAAAGGATAAGAAGGATTTATAAAGTTTAAGCCTATCACAGATACCGAACTTTGACGGAATGGGCCGAATAGTCTAGAATGCATGACGTCAGTTTACCGATATTGAGTGAAAGAGGTTATTGTGTATAATAGCGAATTCACATTGGAATATTTTACGGAAGCAATTACATTTCTCTGAATTTTCGGAATATATTGTGTAACTTTATAAACTTGGAAGTATTATTAGAAAACTTTTAACATGACTACGAAGGAAAAGAGAAGGTAAGCAGTTATACTTTTATTACATCATAGTGGTTACGTCCGGCAACCATAACGCGACTGTCAAAAGAGTCAAAAACGCATGTGCAATGGTTCAGTGACCCCTTAAAAATAATAATATGGTATAAAATAGCATTATATTACTTTTTAATTTCATTGATTTAATGGATGGTTTGTTTTGTATAATGATAAAATAAAGCTTGGTCGGTAGTAGAATGAAATAGGATAACTCGTGTATTGATATTGAGAAGGCTGTATTATTGTAGACTTTGCCCCTATAATATATTGACTGTACTATTACTGTTGATACTTAATACTCATTATACTATAGTATTTATAGTTTGATATTTATAGGCTTTCTAAAATTAATTAACATATTGGACAGTATACAAATTTTCAATTTGACCACTGTAGCATTAGAATTGAAATTTTTCTGTTGTGTTATAAAAAGATTCTAAGTATTTTTTTTTCAAATATATCAATTGTGTTAAATGGTGATGAGAATTCACTGGCCAAGATCACAAGAAAAGATTAATGATAAAAGATCTTTGGTTCTTCAGAAATATGAATTTATTTTACACTTGCTATAAACACCATTCTCCAAGAAATTACACATAAAAAGAACCTATGATTCAAATAAAAATAAATCCTCCATAAGTCAAATTGCAAATGAAAATTTTTCATTGGTGGTGATTTTTATTATTCCTTGAACAAGAATTAGAATACTACCGGTATTTTGAATAGGATAAACATCTAGGCAATAATGTGATAATGGATTAAGTTTTCCTTTAGTTTAATTAATATTTTAAAAGTATTTATTTGAATATTAAGAAAAGGTATTATTATCTGGAATATTTTGATTATGTTTCGTAGTTGTCAAAATAAGCTTACCACCACTTATAAATCACTAATTAACTAACTTCTATCAATTTTTTTTAGCTTTCCACTTATTTACTTCGATCAAAATTATACGGTACTTACATTTATTGTTTTTATCACAATTATTTTTGAAAAGAATTTTTGAAAAATCACATTGCACCTGCAAACAAATAGACATTCTATTTCTATCCTATGGGGTATGGAATAAATAGCTTCTTTACCTGAAGATAAGAGTTTAGTCTCAGCTATCTGTATCACTTCTTAAAATTATAATTTAACATCAGGTTCGGCTGTAAAATCAACAAGAGGTTTTGATTCACTGTCTTTTTTGTTAGAATTTTGTTTACTCATTCTCAATTATTCTCATTATTATTATCAAATTTTCTCATTATTATTCTAAGGGCAGATATTACAGATGTCTTGATGCCAGAAGTAATATGCTACATAGCTATCTTGTTTTATCATTTATAAGCTCTTGACTTTATTTTTTAAATCTGAAAAGTGATATGGACAGCTGAAATTTCAAATACTTCCACATCCATTCCCCTGTAACTACCAAGAAACAAGAAAATGAGTCATAGATCTTCTTGTGTGGCCTGCCATTCTAAGATGCTCCCCTTACATAAACAGAAAAGTAAGAAAAGCTGTGCTTTTGAAAAGAAAGCTGTGCTTTTTAATGAAAATCTGTGCATTGGAAAAAATAACCTGCAATTTTTACATAACCGTTCAACTATTTGCATATCAGCATTGGGAACGGCAATGTGGCTCAATAAGTTAATCAATCACTGACACAGCTAACCTTGGGGCCTGTTTTTTTCCAATTTTACCCTGCCATCAGTGATACAATTCAAAAGTGCTAAAAGCACTATTCCAGACAGAATATGGAATTTCAGGCCCTGTACACTACTGGCTGGGCACATGAAAGATCTTTGGATAGCTGGTAAATAGTATTTTCTGTTTTCATAAATGTTTAATGAGTACAAGAACATAAATCACTGTAAAATAATTATGCTATATTGTCTTAAATAAAAAAAAAATGTTCTTGTGGCAGATGTAAGAAATTTATGACGTTTGCAATTTTTTTCCAAATGGTTGTTTCCCTTGGATCATGTGTTGGAATTTATTTGTTATTCCAAGATATTTTAATCAGATTATTTTAGCCGTCTTTTGTAGTGATGCTGTTAACATTTTTATAAAATAAAAAAGACATGACTATAAAAATATGCTCACAATTATCCCGAATAACATGAGTGAAAAAGTGTGAAATAATTTTTGTTAACAATGATCATATTTTTATTTTTCCTGACCCAGGACATTGTAACACCAACATGTTTTCATGAAAATTCAATCTGATGTTATAAATGGTTGGGGACAAAAACTATTACACTATTGAATTGAAAGGCGACAATCTGATCAAAACAAATCACTGCTCTTCATTTCTTTTCATTTATTTTTAAACGCCTGCATTATACTGTGGTGGTAAATTGTCGGCTTGTGAACACAATAGAGACTACAGTCATTATCTGATTTTAATGAAATGTGGTGTAAATATTGATGATGATCAGATCTTGGACAAGTTCAAATTTAGCTATCTTTCGATGGATAATGCATCAAAATTTGTTTGTGAACACAATAGAGACTACAGTTTTCATCTGATGTAGATAAAATTTGGTGTGACCATTTATAATGATGAGATCTAGGACTATTTCCAATTTGATTATCTTTGATGAAAGGTTTTTTGACTTATTGCCCTTGGCTTAGGAAAAATGCTTCAAAATTTGTTTGTGAACACAATAGAGACTACAGTTTTCATGTGATTTAAATTAAATTTGGTTTGGTCGTTTATAATGATAAGATCTTGGACAAGTTTGAATTTAATGATCTTTTCGATGAAAGGTTTTTGATATATTACTCTTGACTGAGGAAAAACGCGTCAAAATTTGTTTGTGAACACAATAGAGACTTCACTTTACATCCGATTTAAATGAAATTTGGTATGATCATTTACAATGATGAGATCTTAGTCAAGTTTGAATTTGATGATTTTTCGATCAATGGAATTTAAGTTATTACCCTCTACTTATTAAAAAGCATCAAAATTTGTTGGCTTATGAAAGCGATAGAGGTGACAGTTTATGTCAGAGTATAATAAATTTTGTAAGTTTGATTGAATTAACAATATCTTGCACAAATTAGATTTTTGGTATTTTTTGACAATACTGAAAATGTATCAGGAAAGTGAGCGTATCTTCCTAGGCAACCACTTGTTTGATTTTTGATCAGACAAGATACTTTTTCTGTTAGATTCGGTTGTAATAGAAAAATTGGGCAGGTGATGGAATGATGTAAATTTCAGATACAATACTCTTAATACTTTTATACAATGATATAGAGAAGATTGCTAAAACTGATTATAATATAACAGCTCTAGGAATTTAGCCACACATGAAGTATGCTCGTTGATTCTCTAATTAAAACATGGTCAGGTTCCCCACCCTTTGACCAATGGTACTTTAGTTTCAGAAACAGGAAGCTAAGCTATTCAGTAACAGTTACATTAATAAAGGGATAAAGTAAAGTTTATTTGAATATAAAACAATTGTACAGCTTGATGTGAGCTGTAAATAGAATATAAGTCAAGGCTAAGTTCAATGTTCTTACATGA